AGTTCTTATTCACATTAGCAACTTTCCTAGATACTCTTGGTTTCTTATTTTGTAGCTAGAGTAGAATTCTTGGAAATATATTCATTTTTATTATATCCTTACCAATGAGGAATGGTTTACCTCATCCCAATTCATTAGATCTTTTTGTTCTTGTTTCTGCAGAGGATGGCGATTCATCTCATAAAGATCTTGCCATTTTGAAGCGATATTTACTTTCACAAATGTTCTAACTGTTGATCCATTTATCTTCTTGACCAACCCAATATCAACATTTAAGGAGAATAATTCACTTTTGGCTAAATTAACTTTATACCTGAAATGTTATTTAATTTTATTGCAATAATTCTTCTCTATTTGTCGGAAATATTACCATATTACCTGTGTATAGGGTTGCCATACGTCCAGAGCTGAAGTAGCACCCAGAATTTTTGGATATCATCAAAAAGCACAACAACTTTCCCCCCCCAAACCATTGTGTCTGGAGTTTTACTTCTTGAAATATGGCCACCTTACCTGCATATAAACTTATTTTATATTTGGTGTGCCCTGTCGTGTATCTTTTTGTTTTTGCCTGATAGCCCCAGCTAACATTTCTAAAGTCATTATAAACAGCACATCTGTTATAATGAGGAGCTTTGACCATTGATCATTAGTTCTGATATTGGAGCATTATAGATAATTCATATCCATTTACATAATTCAGATTCAAAATTATATTTGATCATACATTCTTTCAGAAAAGGTCTTTCTAGCCTGTCAAACTCTAGCCAGTCAAACGCTTTTTCTGAATCTAAAAATACACATTTTGTCAGTATATTCCCTAGTACAATGCATTTTTGAACATCATTTTCACTTATATATTTCTTTTGTATATATATTCCCCTAATGCATGCATTTTTGTAAACAATGGTTGCAGAACTGTATCACACTATTGTATTTCAAAGGATAGCTGCATTTTGAGAAGTGCAAATTGGAAAGTTTCTCATTAAAATGCAAACAAAATTAAACCTGCTTCCCAATCCCTAGCTTCCCCAAGCCCACCACTGTACCAGCTGAAAGGCTGGTGAGGACAATTTCATGATATATGGATATAAGAGCTAAATGGAACCTCCATTTTCAAAGGCATTTCACATGCAACCATTTTCATGGACATGATTGCATGGCATGGAACTGACTGGTTCCATCTCTGACTTCCATGTTTCCATTGGAAGGTCGGAACAG